TGGTTTGATCTTCAAGCATCCAATCTGCTCTCATTCTCAAAAACTTTGCATTCAATGTTTTGCAGCAGTGTAATGTTAAAAGGCCCACAAAGAAGGACCCCCCCCACACACACATTTAGTTGTTTTTCCACTTTGCTTGCTGTGAACAAAAATGAGTTTTGTGTGTCGAGTTTCCCCCAAAGGCGTTAGAACTGTGGAATTAAGCAACTTTGGTACCTACAGTTTTTGTGTAAATATATTTTCATAAATCTCAGCTGTATGGGTGCCAGAAAAACACAAATACTGTGTCTAATAAAAAACATCTTTAAAGGGGAAGCAGCCCCCCACCCCCACCCACACAGCTGTACTCCATCCCTGTAGACAAGCTAATCTCAGATAAGGGAGCAAAGACTGGCTTTTTTATTAATGCGTCCGGCTCTCCAACAAAGGCAGGCAGAAAGCAAACACACACAAACATCCCAGATGAAGTAAGTAATTTGCAGACTCTTAAGTATTTAAGCCTTTCAAACAATGATTTCATATAAGCGGGTCTGAACACAGCAAGAGCAACTATTAACTTAACTCTGTTATTTGAATCATATTCAGACTGCAAAGCTATTTATTTTCTCTTTGCTCTCTCATTGCCCTCTGATTGTGCAGTTTTTGAGGTACAACCTTTGATATATTTGCAGAGTTTAAACCGAAGATCAGGACACTGCAGATTTTCTTGGGTAAATAATAACAAGCCTGTAAACATAGAGAGCTGTATTATCACGAGGAGCAATAGCTAATCTTTCTTTATCTTACAATTAATCTTTGCACAACAGCAGCAGATACGAATACAAATTATTTGGAGGCTAAAAGGAATGCGTGCTGTGAATAAAAACCAACTTGGAACTAAACCTCAAAGAAAGAAACTAGGCTTTAAAGGTGCATTGCACAAGTTTAGAAGTGTTATATATATTATATATATCTAATATATATAATCAAACCCACAGTACAGGTGACCGTGATTCGTTTGATTCCCGGCATTCCCGACATCCAGGTGGACCCTTAGGCAAGGTCCTTAGTGTCGCCCGGGTTAACAAGGTCCGCGTCAGTTGCTAGGGAACCAGGGCAACTTGATGACAAATTGGCTACTGGAACAAGACATAGATGGACTAGAGCAGAAAACTTGGAACTGATGAAATGCTACTATACAAGCGTCCCCAGTGAGAGAGGTTACATGCAGAGACTATGGGAGTTATGGCAGCTCCAACAACCATCTTAGCCATTTGTTTGAACTTCCTACATAGTGCACCTTCTCAAGTAGTTGGAGGAACAGAGGGCCAAAACGCAATAGATAGGGATAGTTTGATTTAATTTCATTTTAGGCTGCATATGCATTTCAGCAACAAACAGATTTCTTAAGGCCTGGCTTTGCAGGAACTCTCACTAGTGAGAAGCCTTGAAATCCTGATGTGTGAAGGACTATGCCACGTTCTTTACTTCTGTCTCAGTGTCCCACAAATTGAAATGAATTCCTGCATTTCACTGGGAAAAAATTCCAAAAAAGTAAAAAAAAAAAATGGTAGGGCCTTTTTCTAAATGCAAGAGCTGCAGTAATTGTCCTAGAGTCGCACTGGTGGTCAAACAAAATACTCTCTTAAGAGTGAGTAACAGGAAAGATGTATGTGCTCCAAAGTTATAATAACCTGGATAATTTTGGGATCACAGTGTAGCACTCAGTTTGAGACTTGACATGTACAATTATTCTTAATTACAGCTGAGGTTCATGAAGCCTTAAGTGGTCAGAGATTTTTTTCCTGTTGCAGAGGCACCTTTGATATGCAAGGTTTTCATCAATTCACATGATACAGCTACTGATTTTAGTCCATTTGTTTCTAGCCCCTTGCTCTTCCATACAGTTAGTTTGTAACCTTTGCATTCATTATTCACAGCTTTAGGTTTGTGATCTCAACCTCTGCTCTGAGCAAAAATAATTTTTCCTATGTGTATAGAGAGACATGCAGTATATAAACTAAATACTACCCCCTCCTTTAACCCATTACTGATAGGCTTAAAGTTTGAAGCCCATAAGAAACAGCGCATTGATTATGAGCTGTAATCCTGTACTCCAGGTGCGGTTTGGATGTCCGGAGCTGTAATCAAAATGTCTGCCCTGGTAGTTTGAGGGTTGGGCAGTTATTTGACCCCTCACAACCACTACTGAGCATTTTTCTAACTGAGTATCCTTAAATTACAAAGCAGAGTCTCACAGACGGCTACAGGTGTTCGGATCCAGCTGTTTAAAAATGCACATTTATATGGATAAACCCTGTAGGTAGCTGTCACTAAATACATCTTATATCAAATAGTACTGCATATTATACAGTGAGGTGATCATATATCTGATGATTTGTCTCAGTCTAAGTAATTATTTGAACCTGTGATGCCTTTTCTGTGATACCTTCTTTCCCTTTTCACTTTTTGCATTACCTTTCTGTGATACATTTCTGTTTCTGTGTGAAATATTCACAATAATCAAACTAACGTCAAGGGTAGCATCATGGTGAAAAACATGATACTTCACATCTGAGTCCCTCACTGCAGGACAGTATACAACAATAAAAATGAAGGAAAGAGAACAGGCATGTCATTAGGGCTGGGTATTTGCGCCAAAGTCCTGAATCGATTCGATTTTGATTCATACAGCTCTAAATCGATTAATTTCGATTCGATCTGTTTTTACAATAATGAAAGTGGTTCCACTGTGTTTCAAAATACTCATGCATTTTATTTTTTTCCTGTCATATTAAACACAAACTGCGAACTTGAGTTTTAACTTGAGATGTGAACAAAACTGTCTCAAAAGCGCAAAGTTGTTAGTGAAAGGTGAAAAAGTGAAGCCTCACAAGAGCAAGCAGACGTGACACAGCAGACATGCATGAACTGCATTATCTCCACTGCACAAACCATATTTGCAGCGTTGTCTGTAACAACTACAGGGTGTTTGCTGGTCAGCCCCCATTTGTTAATGTCTTCGGTCAACCTATTGGCTATATTTGCAGCTGCCTGTCTTGAAGTTTGTTTAGTGGTGGTCTGTAGCACGAGATGCGAGGCGCCACTTATTATCAATCTAGTGGGAAGTCACCTTAATGTCCCCTATCCACGATATTATCTTTAGCGGTTTTAAATCCAAAATCGTTCCAGACATCAGACTTCAGTTGGGACAGCTTGCTGAGCGGTTTGTTACTTGGGTTTGCATTTGCACAGGCTTGCTCATTTGAATGTGAACGTCAAGCGTGTCACTATAAAACTAATCGATCTCATTCCCTACACAACGATTTTGCAAAAATGTAAAGGAATCGATCCAAAATCCATTAAATCGTTTTTTTTTTACCCAGCCCTACTTATCATACAGTAGAAACAACCTATAGTTTTAAATGGAGATTAAAACCAAATAAATCATATGTGCATCATTCAAAATTAAACTGAGTTAAAACTATCTGATATTTTTATGTAAAACATTTTAACCTTTCATGAAGATACATAGCTTCCAAGTGAAAAACAACCAAGGAATCTGAAGCTGAAAATGCTAATACCCAGATGGAGGAAGTAACACAAAGCCTTTGTAAGTAATGCTGTTTATTTTTGATGAACAGTTCAATTTTGTGTCAGAGTGTGAGCTAAACACATTAAAACATTTGCAGAACCCCGGACTGATCTCATATCAAACTATGAAGATTTTATGCAATGGAATGAATTGTTTTGGAACCTTTAATGCTAACATCCTGGGCTGTGTTGGAAAAAGGCAGTTCAACAATGCACACACATACACTCACCGGCCACTTTATTAGGTACACCTGTCCAACTGCTCGTTAACACTTAATTTCTAAGCAGCCAATCACATGGCGGCAACTCA